TAACTACCTATATAGGTATTTACCCATTATTACTTTTTTAATTTTCAACTTAACATCCTGTATTTCAGAAAATTATATCCAAACATTTTTTATTTTCGTCTATTTGTCTCATTTTGAACAATAATATTCAGTTGTTCATGTCCTATTCTTAATTTGATGATACCATTAAATAAAAGTGAATATAAATTAACAGCGTACAACTCAAGTTTAATTAACCATCAGCGATATATCCAAAATCCAACCACAATATAGAAAAAAAATGTTCCCTATTATAGTAAAATTCTACCCAATCTCAACTAATTCAATCTTTTTCAAACAAAAACTGGTTTATTTTATTATATCGATTATTTTCGCATTTTATGTGACCTTCAAATACCCTGTATTCTGTGCTTTTGTAATAATTTGAAATAGTAAATTGTAACTATAAAAATACATTACCGAAGACAAGTAGAAATGAAAAAGAAGATTTTAAATTATAATTCATACTCAAGCACAGACATGACCTAAAGACCTGACTTGGACATAAGTATAGTATCGCCATCTACATTCTATGTCCATCGTCCTCCAATGATAAGTCCATAAGGTTACACTACTATATTTCTTCATACAACGCTTTTAGTTCAACAATTTTCATAAAAATCAGAATTTTGCACATTTTATTAAATTTCTCGAATACGGACCATTCTTGATTCAACAAAAGTATAAATACATAAACAACACTAAAAAACATTTAAAAACAAATGTCCGATTTTGAGATTATATCGTTGTATCTTCATACAACGATTATATCTAAATTTCTCAAAAATATATTGGATGGAAGATGGCCATAATTCGTAAAATGCAATACTGGTGCCATCTATCAACAGATAGTCACACTATCGAGTTGCACATATCACTTGTAGAGGCCGAAACTTGATTTTAAATTAAAGCACTTTTTCTCACGCTCATGGAGAAACGATTATTACTCACGTTCAGGCCTCGCAACGAAATGGAGACAGGCGTAACAAAAAAGCTACAAAAAAGTTACAAAAAATGAGCCTGGTGCCGCTAAGCCTGGTGCCGCTACAAATATCCGCTAAGCTAGCGGATCCGCGCTTTTCTCAGGTTCAGTACAAGCTACAAAAGGGAGACTAGCGTAACAAAAAAGCTACAAAAAAGTTACGAAAAACCAGCTGGGTCTGAATCTGTGCCGCTACTATGGAATTTGTGGAAATTCAAGCTAGCGGATCCGCTGTTTTTTCGGATCTGGGCAAAGCTACAAATTCGCAAATAGCGTAACAAAAAAGCTACAAAAAACCCACCAGGTCTTGTATGGTGCCGCCACAGAGTGCCCGCTAGCTTGATATAGCTCCAGGGGCAAGAAAAAATACGCTAGAAAATTTGTTTTTAAATTTGTTGTTAAATCATTAATACACAAATTGACGATTACACACCTTTTTAGTATATCACGAACAAAATAAGGATAATTTATTATTTAAAAATGATTTTTAACCTAATAAATCAATTTCTAAATTAAATATTAGCCAGACTTATTTGGATCAAATATGGTCAACCACTATCAGAGAAGATTTTTGATTGCAGTGCGATGTATTTGGATTTTAAGCTTACATGTCGCGGACGACTATTTAACTGAGTTTCATACTAATACGAGTTGAAAATACCGGTAAATGTACTCGCTTCGGCGGTACATATACTAAAATTGGAACGATACAGAGAAGATTAGCATGGCCCCTGCGCAAGGATGACACGCAAAATCGTGAAGCGTTCCACATTTTTTTGTAAAATTTTCAAGTAGATCTGGTCATAAAACCTTTTTTTACAAACTTGGTTTATTACCTAGTCTAAGTTTTTTTATTTTTGATCAAAAATACCGTTGACAAGAAAGTTTTAGTTGGCAAACTTGTAAATTAATCTTTTTGACAGGCATATGCCTTCAAGACTTCTAGAACAACTAAAGGAGACGATGCATGAGTGGACAGGGGCCCATGCGGTGCACTTTACACACTATTTAATAATTAAAATTAATGAGATTATCCATAATAGTAGTTTATGTTATAAGGACGAAAATATACTTTTCGTCCGTGTTTCATGCATTATTTTTTATTCGAATGTGCTAATATATATTAAAAAAATGTAGAAAATTAAATCCGAAATAAATCAATCAATTTTTATTATAACTGAGATCGACATGAATAGCTATTCCATTCAAGGGGGACCTTATTTGATTAAATATGATTCCTTTCAACGCCATTTTAAATTTTTAAAAACTTATTTAGTATCTGTTATCTTTGGTTTCTAAAATTCCCAGATACCAATTTTAGTCGAAATCTGCCGACTTTTAAAAATATATTTTTTAAAAAATCCAGCTCATCCTGTATATACGAGGACATATCAGTATATAACGAGACTGGTGCTATAACTTCTTTCAGAGGTAACATTTTATAACCCAAAAAATGAGACATGAAAGCCTTATATTTAATGTACTACCCCGCAAGTAGGCTTTGATTTAACTTTTGACATTTGTTACAAATTAATTATTGAATTGTCAGTGTTTTGCGTACCCATCGAAAAATGAAAGTGGAGCAAAGATACGCGATAAAATTTTGTGTTCGATTGGGTAAAACACCAACTGAAACTTTTGAAATGATTAAAGGTGCATATCTAGATAACAGTTTATCACGATGTAGAGTGTTTGAGTGGCATAAAAAGTTTAAAGACGGTTGTAAATCAGTTGAAGATGAACCTCGTCCCGGTCGACCACAAACTGCGAGAAATGACACAAAAATTGCAGAAATTAACGACTTGATACAAAATGATCGCCGGATTGGCATAAAACGAATTTCTGACAATGTTAATTTGTCTTACGGTACCACTCAAAAAATTATTCATGAAGATTTAGAGTACCGGAAGATCGCGGCAAGATGGATTCCAAAAGTGATGACCGATGAACAAAAAGCGAATCGAGTGACAATTTGTCAGCAGTGGAAAAGGCAATTGCAACGTAACCCACAGTTTTTAAATAATGTGGTTACATGTGACGAAAGTTGGTTTTATCATTACGATCCTGAATTGAAGTCTCAAAGTATGCAATGGAAGCATAAAAGCAGCCTAAGACCGCAGAAGGCCAAAACTGCTAAAAGCGCTGGTAAATTGATGCACCTGATTTTTTTTGATAAATTTGGCGTTATTTACGATCACATTGTACCTAGAGGACATACAGTAACAGGAGAGTACTATTCTAATGTACTTCGAGGACCCTTAAAGGCAAAATTAAAGAAAAAAGGCCGCTTTATCAGGACTTTGGCTGGACGCTGCATCATGACAATGCTCCGGCTCATAGATCAATGATTTGTCAACGAACAATTGAAGAATTAGGGGTTGAAATTATGGTTCATCCCCCCTACTCTCCTGACCTTGCTCCATGTGACTTCCATTTGTTTCCTGAAGTCAAAAAAGAATTGAGAGGTAGAAGATTTGAGTCGGATTTAGAGCTCAACAACGCTGTGATGGGTATACTAAACAGACTATCAAAAAATGGTTTCTCAGAAGTTTATGATAAGTGGATAAAGCGATAGAATAAGTGTATTCAACAGAATGGAGAGTACTTCGAAGGATAGTTGTTGAATTTTTTAAAATAAATGTTTCGTTGTTATACTATAGCACCAGTCTCGTTATTTTCTGATACATCCTCGTAAGTGATCGGAAGTATAACTGGTTTTGAGCCAAAAGAGAACTTTATCTGCATACAAAATTTGAAGTTTTTCTATAAAGCCATTTTCGAACCAATAGACAGACGACGATTTTTCGTAATTTAGGGACCCTCAAACGTGAAAATCTGAAATAATCTCAGAAGGTGACTTTTTCACGATAATCTGTCATTTATTCTATAATTTATTGTAAAATGTATTCTATATTGTATTATATAAAGTTATTCTATAATGTAAAATGTTATATAATGTATTCTATGTAATGTATTCTATAATGTAATATATTTTATAATGTAATGCATTCTTTAATGTATTCTGTAATTATAATTTATTCTATAATGTATCGAGTGAATTTCTTCTTTCGAAAACCAGCGTTTTCCATAATGTATGTAGGAAATATTATTTCTTACAATTTTGCTGAATAGTAAAGTACCTTTATTTTGGACAAACCTCGTATACGACTAATAAAATTTGATATATGATGGTTGTATTTTTAGGTTTTAGACCATGCTCGACTTTTTATGAAGAATAACTTTTTTTCCTAACATTAATAATAAAAAGTTTTTCATATGCCACCAACTGTTTTCTGTCTACGTAAGTTCCAACTTAAGTGGACACACTGTATAAATTGTATTTCTGTAAAATCAAACCCTGGTAGTTTTTAAAAAAGAATCCAACCTCAAGACTCAAGACCATATCCTTATTAAACGGATATAAAAAGACTCAAGATGAATTGATATTTCAGCTCCACCGCACTTTGGTATATACTTGAATAAAATTAAAAAATTTATTGAAAAAAAAAATGAAAATTGTAAATTTCACAAAAAAATGTGGAACGCTTCACGATTTTGCGTGTCATCCTTGCGCAGGGGCCATGCTAATCTTCTCTGTATCGTTCCAATTTTAGTATATGTACCGCCGAAGCGAGTACATTTACTGTTATTTTCAACTCGTATTAGTATGAAACTCAGTTAAATACTCGTCCGCGACATGTAAGCTTAAAACTAAAATCAATCACTACTGCAGCTTCTCTATTGTCTCATAGATGGCGCTGCAACTGAAACCTTCGCTGATAGTGATTAGCCATATTTGATCCAAATAAGTCTTGCTAATATTTAATTTTCAAATTAATTTATTAAATAAAGGATAAAAAACATTTTTAAATAATTAATTATCCCTATTTTGTTAACGATATACTAAGGTCAATTTCGTGTAATTTAATTATTTATCAAACGGAAACTTATTTTGATTAATTTACTTATTGAGGGTGACTTTTTCAATTTAAAAAATAGATACAATGAGTAAAGAAGAATATAATAATAGATTTATAAATGAACAGTTATATTTAATTAAATAAGTCACAACTTTATAACGCAAAACAGTTTTATTAAAATTTTAAAGGTTAAAATTTGTTTGAATTTCTTAACCTTTCTTATTATACAAATGGTTTTAAAAATAAAAATAACCCATTTATAATTACATCTATATTAACTAAATTACAAAAAGAGCCAGACATTACGATAATAATGCCAAATGGGCTCTGTACTTAAAATCATTATAAGAAGAATGTACATAAAATTCTTGGTAATTAGGTTCGATTAAGGTATTCTTAGGAACGGTGTGGTAAATCGGTTCTCCGTACCAGGTACCAGTTTTCCAACCTTCAACGTTGGCCATTAATTTCGTTTCTTCGTCTCGATTCTTTCTCAATTGATTCAGGTAAGCTCTATCCCTTTCCGCCAGCAACATTGGATAAATTGCTAAGCTAGCGCTATGCATTTCTAATTGTCTGATTTTCACTGCTTTGCAATTTAAATAATATAGATACGAGGCTCCTGCCGTCATCCCTAAATAGCCCCCAATTATTGCCCATCCTAAAATAAATTAGGTTATGTTTGTTATGTAATGTCACTTATTTTAAAAACTTTACCTCCAAAGAATGATTTGGCCGGGACTCTTTTGTAAGGAATATTTTTGTAGCCCCCAGGCGGGGGCATATCTTGCTTAAATTCGGCCTTTGTAGTCATTTTATTGGAATTAAATAAAATGTCAAAATACCTTTATCGTAATGTCATGTCACTGTCAACTGTCAGTTGTAATTTGTAATGGTGTCAATTGAGAGTACGTTCTGAAATTTTATGAAATATCGCCAATACTATATAGTTGTATAGATTGCTCACCCATATGTAGAATCCTTTCCAAGCACTTACTGAACAGAACCGTTCTGGCCCAAATGTGTTTTAAAATAAAATTTCAGCATTTGAATATTTAAAAAAAAAAAATACCATAATTTTTACTTCAAAACCCAATATGATATTTTGAAAACATTTTTTTGGTGTTATAAAATTGAGTTTTCATATAGTCAAATAATACTAAAGGCTGATTTCACCGTTGTGTTAAACGAAGTTTAAATTGCTAAGCAAATATTAGAATGACATTGTTACATTAACAATGTAATTTTAATCTTCGTTTAGTGATTTAAACTTCATTTAACACAACGGTAGAATCGGCCCTAAGATATCTAAACAATTTTAGAAATACCATGTACACAATAATTGTAGTATATAAACAGACCAATGTTAATGTTACTAACATTTTATTAAAATAGTAACTAAATTTTTGACATGTTTATTTTAGAGATGAATGAGAATTAGTTGGTTAATTAAAAATAGAATAAACGAGAACGCTCGCGGATTTCTTTAGTTGAAATTTGCCTGCATAAAAACTCAATATTATAAAAAAATATTAAAAAAAAAGAAAAGCAGATTTTTTTGACTTATTAGTTGCCTAAAATTTTTACAAAATGTTTTAATACCACAATGTGTAAAGTTTATTATATTTTTCTTGGTTAACTTTTGTTGTAACGTCACTAATGCATGGTATAGTATTATACCCCTGGAAAAATCCCGATGAGTTGAGTTTAAAAATATAACTTTTGTAAAACTGCTCTATGTCAACATAGTTTACTTCCGAGGTACAGATATGGGTAAATATTTAATTTAGCCTTTATGATATAGGTACATACCTAACAAAACTATTAACTTTCTTCTAAATAATACCATAAGTTTAGTAAAATCATCACCGTTACATCAGTTTGATACTGTTTATCAGTATCTCTAGCATTTATAGATAGAACATATTCCTATAACTTCACATTCATTAGGATAATCTACAAAATAAAACAATAATTATTCATATAAAATTCTACTATGATCAGGAAATTATCCTTGTTCAAATAAAACACAATAAAATTGTCATACTTCTAAAATATCTTCTAGTTCAATGATTTTTTTTTTGGCTGACAACATTTGACATTTGTTTCTAAGTACAACTTCTTCTTCAAATGTGACTCATTTCCATTTCTAATATATATATACAAAATAAACTAATTAGTTAAAGTAGGTACTTAAGAGAAATATATTAATAATAAGATATCATTACCGGGATTTTCTCACAGAAAACTAAGAACAGGTAAAGAGATTTAATTAAGCTCAGTTATTAATATCTAATTGATCACTTAAGATATTTGAATTTTTAAATCTATTTATTTCAAGTGTTTCTAAATGGTTTAATTTAATGCCTTTATTCTCAAAATGTAAAACAATTTTTGCATAAACGATTGATTTTCAGATAAAAATATGTTTTGTAGAATTATTTTTGTTTTTAGTAAAACTATTATAATGTTTTAAAAAGCCTTTTTTGAAAGTACGGCCCGTTTGACCAATATACAATTTTACCACAATTTAATTTATTTGAATAAGGATAATTTCTTGACCGTAACAGAATTGTATATAAATACCGACCGCAAAGCGGTAGAACAGCCTTAACCTAAAGTCGGCTTACTTAAAAATAATAATTTTTTAATTGACTATAGAATTATGTACTAATAATAACACTAAGCAATATGTATGAACAAGTATCATTCACTATTTTCCATTTATGTCTTAAAATATACGCGCCTCTGGTTTACAACTTTCTAGGTAAGCTACCAATTCTATTTATCGGTAGGCGTGTTCGTAACATTATAAATGCGCATCCTTGGTTCTTTAGATTTGGCATTTACCGTACCGTTTTAAATAAAAGTCCCTGTTTCCCTGTGAGAGATCTCTTCTGATATGGCATTATGTATCCATTTATGTAATTTTCTGTTTTTGAAACTTCTTTACCCAGACAGCACACCAAATCCTTTGGATATCTACTGAACATCCCAATATCCACTGAATGTCCAGTCCATGGTGGATATCTATTTTATATCCATGAAATGTAATTTATAGACATGCAAATGTCCATAAATAATTGTAATTATATAGCAAATTATTAAAAAATTACGCCATTGTACTCGCCATTGTGGCTAATAGTACCGTTGAGATATTTAAAATTAATTTTTTTTAAGGTGTATTCAATATCCCATGGACATCCACTATAAATATAAATATATCAAAGTCTAAGCGCGGACGCAAACCATCGTGGATATCTACTAGATGTAATTTTTGATTTTGCTTCCTAAGTATAGATGGCGATACCACTTTCGTATCTACTCATGCTTAACCCACCGTAATTGAGTTTGATCGACATTGTTTCTCAAACAGACTTCATTAGAGACTGAAGTCGAGAAGTTCCATTTATTGCTGAAGATTCCTAATAAGGATGATTTTCTCCTTAGTAGGCAAAATCAAAGGCAGATTGTTGGGAATATTTTTTTACCTCTATTTTCTTTCGACGTTATTCAATAACCATTGGTTACTTATGAACCTCTACTAAAAATAATTATAAAATATTTATCTGAATTTCTATATCCTGGGATATAGACGGACATTTGGTTGGATATCCACAAAATATATTCTATGGATATATCTGGGATTTCTTGTATTGTCTGAAGATACTCATTAGATATTTTGCTGAATATCCATAGGATATCTTCTATATTCTGGATATAGACGGACATTTGGATATCCATATTAGTTCCACGGAATATTTCTGATATCCTGTGGATATATTGGATATCCACAAAATATATTCTGTGGATATCTCTGGGATTTGGTGTGTTGTCTGGGTAATGTCTTTTGTATGTACAAAAAGCAGTTCAATATATAGGTACGTAACTTAAAAAGGGTAACAACATAGCGATCTCCGCGGATTTTACATTTTACTACATAACAAGAGGTAGGTATGAGAGCAAATTAGTTTGTGTGCCTACGGTAGACATCTTGCTTTCCATCTGATAGCATCCTGTATAACTCAATAAGTGTAATTGTTCGCAATGCTCAAAGAGTTACTGTATAAAACTTCAAAATTCCTATTAATGGTAAAATCCTATTTTTTATTCTAGACCCCATTGCGTAAATTATATTTACTGTCTATAAAATGTATATTTAAATCTGTAAAAAATCGTAATGAGAAGAAAAAGCTATAGATTCTAATTTCTAAACCGGTTCTGTAAATGATTTGTTTACACTGAGGTCACCGAGTACTTCAAACTGAGACAAAACATATACATTGTATGTATTAGATAAGGAGGAAACTTCCGGTGAAACCGCTCTCGTAATCTAAATATGTATAAGCAATCTATATTACTAAATATTTCATTGAAATATCATTCTGCTATACAGGTTTCTGTATTATTTATGATTGTCATTCTTGACATTTTTTTCGTCTTGTAATCAATTTCAATGTAATTTATGTTGAAATAACTTTTGTTAAAAAATGAAAATTATTTGTTTGGTCGGCTCAAAATTTTACGATACTAATTTAAATCTGTTAGATCGGAAGAATATTCTGAATTTCCAAATACTATATCAACCTCCACTACTGTTTAACAGATGGCTCTCAACGATTCGGCGTTTTTGAAATCGAAGAGTGCCATAATTTTCCGACAGATGTGAGTGAAATTTTACGAATATAATTTTTTATTTGGCCATGAACAATTTATTCGATTTGATAAGAAACTGTGATGGTGTCAAAATACATTAATAAAATTAATAATGAATTAACGATGATTTATCCTGCAATCAGTTTTTTGGAAGACACGAAAATAGAAAAAAGTTTGTTGAATTCTTGACCAGGATAGAATTAAAAGCATGAGTTGAAATGAAGAAAAGCTACACCTCGACAGATATTAATCAAAACCAGGGCCAGGAGCTCTCAAAAAAATTATATCGGTAAGTTTACTACGTTTACTTGTGACGTACAATGTAATTATGTTATTCCAATGTTATAAATTATTCAATTTTTAATCAACATAACCTCACTTATTGAAGAAACCTCTAACTTATTTTTAAGTTCTAAAAATGATTATTATTGTGGCAATTTAGCTCGTGAAATTTCATTATAAATGTTTCTATATATTCTGAATGTGTTGTGTAAAATACAGCTTGTAATATACAGAGTATCAAAGTCGGAGGGCATTTATTTTGACAAGGTGAAACATGCTGGAAGTTTCGGAAATAAACCCAAGAATTAACCATTTTAAACAGATAAAACAGTACAGTATACATGTATGTGGAAGTAATAGCAAGTTATCTACAGATAGTTTTCCCCTTGTATTTCGTTTAGAATTTGCTTCAATTTCTTCAATACTAGAAACTTGTCTTTCATTTTTTGTTTCTACAGTCCTGTTGTCATTTAAAATTATGGTTTTTGAATTTGGTCATCATTTAAGTCACTATTTTTATTTTCTTTTACACTAGCAAAACCTTTATACTATCTATTAGATTTATCATCATCTTTGAGTGTATTCCCTGCTTTCTGGAAGGAAAGCTTTCTTACGCCAATTTACAAATATGACAGCAAGGCTTATATTACAAATTGTATTCAATCGGAGATTCCTAAGTTACCAAGAGTATCATGGGGCACTAATTCTATGTACAATAGCGAGGAACTTGAAGTTATTTCTGGTAAATCTACAGCTACAAATTTAGTGCTTTATAAAAACTTCATAATTGGTGCTTTTGAACAGTGTTGTCAGGTTGATACCATATATATATATACCGATTTTACAAAAGCTTTTAATCGTGTTAACCATGTTAGCAAACTTTAATTCTTGAGGAATAGTCAGCCTGATACTCTGATGGCTTGGCAGTTACCTTAAAATGTAAGATATACTGACTCCATATCATCAGCGATATTTGCATCTTCAGGTGTACCACAAGGCTTACATTTAGGCCCTTTGTTATACAATTTATTTATAAAGTAGGGGAGGTAATAATTTACTCACATAAGTCTATTTTTGCGGACAATTTTAAACTTTATATGTCTATAAATACCATTGAGGATGCCAGATTACTTTAATTTGATATAGATAACCTGATTTTAGATGGTGTAAAATAAATCTACTTAGGTTAAATCTAAAGAAATGTCATCAAATTACAGTTTCACAGAAATAACAATCCTGTTCAGTTTAATTACACACTAAACAACCATCCACTTCATAGAGCCATACACTATTAAAGATCTTGGTGTTGCATTAGATCCCAAATTATTATTTTTATTATTACTGTTGCTAAACATGATATTTTATTTACTTGTCAGTTCGTGTTCCACGCATCAAAGAACACCATAGATGCTATATATTCTCTTTTGGAGAAAGCCTACATTAGCTGTCTTTTATTATCTTTCAAAAGCCTTTGATTGTGTCAGACATTGTACATGTATGGTTTCTGAAATTCAATACTAAATTCATTAAAAAGTTACTTATCATATTGAACACCAGTTGTAGCAGGTAGAATCTTTAACAGTTCCAAATTAAAACAAAATTCCACAAGGATCTGTTTTAGGACCAGTTGTTTCATTGCTATATTTTTAGGATTTAACAAAAGTTAAAATATATATTGATGCTTTACAATATTTGCCATTAATACCACAGTTCTTTGGAATGAAAAAGATGCTAAAGATCTTAAGAACTATGTTTCAAGTATATGAAAGAGTAGGGAAGTAAAAAATCGTTTGTATCTTGGTATCTTACAATTATATGTATTTCTAATGCGACCGGTTTCGAAGTTTAGGACTTCATCTTCTGGCACACCACATTCCCTAATCTACTAGGAAATTAAACTATAAGGTACACTAGAAAAAAGGTGAAAAGAACCAGATATATTGTTAAGATTAAAATAAATTTGAAAATAAGGTCACAAATGATAAAAAAATAATGATATTAAAAAGGAGAAAGGTTTGTTAAATGGCTTTTAAACAACTTAATTTCTTTCCTTTTCTATATTTTTCTTTTTCTTCCTTCTTCTTTCTTTTCTTTTTCTTCCATTTTGTTTCATAAAAAACAATGATATTAAAATGGAGAAAGTTTGTTACATGTTAAAACATAATTTTCAAAGGGGGAGACAAAAATGGCTTTTAAACAACTTAATTTTTTTCCATTTCTTTATTTTTCTTTCTTTTTCTTCCTTCTTTCTTTTCTTTCAATTTTGTTCCATAAAAAACAATGATATTAAAATGGAGAAGGTTTGTTACATGTTAAAACATAATTTTCAAAGGGGAGGGACAAAAATGGCTTTTAAACAACTAAATTTTTTTCCTTTTCTTTATTTTTCTTTCATTTTCTTTCTTTTTCTTTCTTTTTTTTTTCCTTCTTCTTTCTTTTTTTTTTTCCTTCTTCTTTCTTTTCTTTCCTTTTTCTTCCATTTTGTTTCATAAAAAACAATGATATTAAAAAGGAGAAGGTTTTGTTACATGTTAAAACATAATTTTCAAAGGGGGAGACAAAAATGGCTTTTAAACATCTTAATTTTTTTCCTTTTCTTTATTTTTCTTTCATTTTCTTTCTTTTTCTTCCTTCTTTTTTCTTTTCTTTATTTTTCTTTCATTTTCTTTCTTTTCTTTATTTTTCTTTCATTTTCTTTATTTTTCTTTCATTTTCTTTCTTTTCTTTATTTTTCTTTCTTTTTCTTCCTTCTTTTTTCTTTTCTTTCCTTTTTCTTCCTTCTTTTTTCTTTTCTTTCCTTTCCTTTTTCTTCCATTTTGTTTCATAAAAAACAATAATATTAAAATGAAGGTTTGTTAACGGGTGTGAAGTTATCCACATCCACAAATGTACACTGAGAAAAATATAACTCTATCGTAATAGTCATATAACTTGGTTCAAATTACCTGTAGAGGCTTTTCATTTGTAGATTTCAATTGGGGAGGTTTCAATACACAGCAACCATACCCGCAATTAACTTTTGCTTTGTCTTAGGGGGTGCAATTGGGGGTGAAATTTAAAAAAAAAATCATAGAAGCCACAAATGGCTTTGTACACCTTTCTACTTGGGATATGTTATGTAGTTTGCTCTTTTCTTCATCCCTGATACCATGCTGGAGTTTGTCGAGCCGTCTGAGGGGGTGCAATTGGGGGTGAAATTAAACAAAAAATCATAGAAGCCACAACTGGCTTTGTACACCTTTCTGCTTGGGATATGTTATGTAGTTTGCTCTTTTCTTCATCCCTGATAGCATGCTGGAGTTTGTCGAGCCGTCTGAGGGGGTGCAATTGGGGATGAAATTTAAAAAAAAAATCACCGAAGCCACAAATGGCTTTGTACACCTTTTTACTTGAGATATGTTATGAAGATAGCTATTTTCTTTATGCTTGATACCATGCTGGAGTTTGTCGGGCCGTCTGAGGGGGTGCAATTGGGGGTGAAATTAAACAAAAAATCATAGAAGCCACAAATGGCTTTGTACACCTTTCTGCTTGGGATATGTTATGTAGTTTGCTCTTTTCTTCATCCCTGATAGCATGCTGGAGTTTGTCGAGCCGTCTGAGGGGGTGCAATTGGGGATGAAATTAAACAAAAAATCATAGAAGCCACAACTGGCTTTGTACACCTTTCTGCTTGGGTGTTATGTAGTTTGCTCTTTTCTTCATCCCTGATACCATGCTGGAGTTTGTCGAGCCGTCTGAGGGGGTGCAATTGGGGGTGAAATTAAACAAAAAATCATAGAAGCCACAACTGGCTTTGTACACCTTTCTGCTTGGGATATGTTATGTAGTTTGCTCTTTTCTTCATCCCTGATAGCATGCTGGAGTTTGTCGAGCCGTCTGAGGGGGTGCAATTGGGGATGAAATTTAAAAAAAATCACAGAAGCCACAAATGGCTTTGTACACCTTTTTACTTGAGATATGTTATGAAGATAGCTATTTTCTTTATGCCTCATACCATGCTGGAGTTTGTCGGGCCGTCTGAGGGGGTGCAATTGGGGGTGAAATTAAACAAAAAATCATAGAAGCCACAAATGGCTTTGTACACCTTTCTGCTTGGGATATGTTATGTAGTTTGCTCTTTTCTTCATCCCTGATAGCATGCTGGAGTTTGTCGAGCCGTCTGAGGGGGTGCAATTGGGGATGAAATTAAAAAAAATCACAGACGCCACAAATAGCTTTGTACACATTTCTGCTTGCGATATGTTATCTAGTTGGCTCTTTTCTTCATCCCAGATACCGTGTTGGAGTTTGTCGAGCCGTCTGAGGGAGTGCAATTGGGGGTGAAATAAAAAAATTAAAGAAGCCACAAATGGCTTTGTACACCTTTCTGCATGCGCTATGATATGTAGTTTGCCCCTTTGTTCGTTCCAGATACCATGCTGGAGTTTGTCGAGCCGTCTGAGGGGGTGCAATTGGGGATGAAATTAAAAAAAAATCACAGAAGCCACAAATGGCTTTGTACACCTTTTTACTTGAGATATGTTATGAAGATAGCTATTTTCTTTATGCCTGATACCATGCTGGAGTTTGTCGGGCCGTCTGAGGGGGTGCAATTGGGGGTGAAATTAAACAAAAAATCATAGAAGCCACAAATGGCTTTGTACACCTTTCTGCTTGGGATATGTTATGTAGTTTGCTCTTTTCTTCATCCCTGATAGCATGCTGGAGTTTGTCGAGCCGTCTGAGGGGGTGCAATTGGGGATGAAATTAAAAAAAATCACAGAAGCCACAAATAGCTTTGTACACATTTCTGCTTGCGATATGTTATCTAGTTGGCTCTTTTCTTCATCCCAGATACCGTGTTGGAGTTTGTTGAGCCGTCTGAGGGAGTGCAATTGGGGGTGAAATAAAAAAATTAAAGAAGCCACAAATGGCTCGACAAACTCCAACACGGTATCTGGGATGAAGAAAAGAGCCAACTAGATAACATATCGCAAGCAGAAATGTGTACAAAGCTATTTGTGGCTTCTGTGATTTTTTTTAATTTCATCCCCAATTGCACCTCCTCAGACGGCTCGACAAACTCCAGCATGCTATCAGGGATGAAGAAAAGAGCAAACTACATAACATATCCCAAGCAGAAAGGTGTACAAAGCCAGTTGTGGCTTCTATGATTTTTTGTTTAATTTCACCCCCAATTGCACCCCCTCAGACGGCTCGACAAACTCCAGCATGGTATCTGGGAGAAAGAAAAGAGCAAATTACATAACATATCGCTTGCAGAAAGGTGTACAAAGCCATTTGTGGCTTCTATGATTTTTTTTATTTCACCCCCAATTGCACCCCCTCAGACGGCTCGACAAACTCCAGCATGCTATCATGGATGAAAAAAAGAGAAAATTACATAACATATCCCAAGCAGAAAGGTGTACAAAGCTATTTGTTGCTTTTATGTTTTTTTTTTAATTTCACCCCCAATTGCACCCCCTCAGACGGCTCGACAAACTCCAGCATGGTATCAGGGATGAAGAAAAGAGCAAACTACATAACATATCCCAAGCAGAAAGGTGTACAAAGCCATTTGTGGCTTCTATGATTTTTTTTTTAATTTCACCCCCAATTGCACCCCCTAAGACAAAGCAAAATTTAATTGCGGGTATGGTTGCTGTGTATTGAAACCTCCTCAATTGAAATCTACAAATGAAAAGCCTCTACAGGTAATTTGAACCAAGTTATATGACTATTACGATAGAGTTATATTTTTCTCAGTGTACATTTGTGGATGTGGATAACTTCACACCCGTGGTTTGTTACATGTTAAAACATAATTTTCAAAGTGGGAGACAAAAATGGCTTTTAAACAACTTAATTTTTTTCCGTTTCTTTATTTTTCTTTCATTTTCTTTCTTTTTATTCCTTCTTCTTTCTTTTCTTTCCTTCTTTCTTTTCTTTCCTTCTTCCATTTTTTTTTTTTTTTTTTCATAAAAAACAATGATATTAGAAAGGAGAAGGTTTGTTACATGTTAAAACATAATTTTCAAAGGGGGAGACAAAAATGGCTTTTAAACAACTTAATTTTTTCCTTTTCTTTATTTTTCTTTCTTTTTCTTCCTTCTTTCTTTTCTTTCCTTTTTCTTCCATTTTGTTTCATAAAAAACAATGATATTAAAAAGGAGAAGGTTTTGTTACATGTTAAAACATAATTTTCAAAGGGGGAGACAAAAGTGGCTTTTAAACAACTTAATTTTTTTCCTTTTCTTTATTTTTCTTTTATTTTCTTTCTTTTTCTTTCTTTTTCTTTCTTTTTCTTCCTTCTTCTTTCCTTTTTCTTCCATTTTGTTTCATAAAAAACAATGATATTAAAAAGGAGAAGGTTTGTTACATGTTAGAACATAATTTTCAAAGGGGGAGACCAAAATGGCTTTTAACCAACTTAATTTCTTTCTTTTTCTTTCATTTTCTTCCTTTTTCTTTTATTTTCTTTCTTTTTCTTCCTTTTTTATTTATTTTCTTTCCTTTTCTTCCTTTTTCTTTCATTTTCTTCCTTTTTCTTTCATTTTCTTTCTTTTCCTTCCTTTTTCTTCCTTCTTCTTTTTTTCTTTCCTTTTCTTCTATTTTCTTTCTTTCTTTCTCTTTTTCTTTACTTTTATGAGTAGATGCAACCTTTAAATAATTTCCAGATCTATAAGTGAACAAGCCAAACGTTTGGACGATGCTAGAAGTTGTGCCCGAAATGTTGGAGATCTTTTCACTCCAAATTTACAAGTACAAAGGAAGAAATTCTGCGAATACTGCGAAAGGCTGATCTTTTCTGATCCTTGCTTGTACGGCCGCAAGGGGGAGGAATTACTATGGCGGAAGGGATTCTACGATGTGGTCGCGACGGCCAAGAAGTTGAAGAAAAAAGAGTACCTTGCGGACGAAGTCAGTTTTGTCGCCGCGCATATTAATGCGGGGATTGGATTTTACAGTCACATGATATCCAAATTGCAATGTCAGTTTAATTTGAATATGAAGCCTTGCATCGATTTTGCGATGATGCATTCTGAAAAGAAAGATACAGGTATGTTTCTAGCATATAAAAAAGAAATAATAATAATTATGATTATAATTTGTATCCTGCTGAGACACAGTCTGTATGCAGGAATTAAAAATACTTATACATACAATTATTTCTAAAAGGTAATAATACATTTTTCATAAAGAAATTATAACTTTTTTGGTAATAATAAATAGAAATAAATAAAAATTATAAAATAAATGCTCAAAAAATCAGATTTCTATTGTCCAATTCGAAAGTTATAAAAATTTCTACGCAGGGAATCTTTAGAAACTTGTGTAAAATTTTAGTTTTTTGTTTTTAGTGGAATATTACTAAAAATTATTTTTCAATTAAAATACAATTATTTCCATTTCAAGTATTTAAAATCAATTAAATTATTGACCTACTTTCAGTGATTCAGGCCAGAGTTAAAATTCAATACAGGTAACAATCACTTTCTCACAAGTGATGTATATAATTTTTTCTACGACCACAAGACATTTGAAACTTGCTATGAAGATTAAATATGGATAAGGATAGTTTTGTATTAGAAAACTGGAGATTTTTAGATCAATTGCTGGGGCCACCTATTCGTGTCGACAAAAACATTTTCGTGCCCTCACTTTTTAATAATTTACTCCATATTTCCGATCATTCTAAATCCAAAAAGTCACAAATATTCTTTTTTAAATGGACAGGCATAAATGGTAAAAATCTCAAATATTTTTACTCAGGGGCCTTATAGGGTATAGTGCCAAAAAAATTTATTGGGGTAAGTGCAATAGGTAAATGGTCCAAATTTTTTAGTTTCTTCAAATTTCTTTCGATTCTCTGTAATTTCTTTAAATTTCCTCCAACTTCTTTCAATTTACTACAAGTTCGTCAAATTTCATGCAATTTCCACCAACATCTTTAAGTTTCCTCCAATTTTTTCCAAATTATTTAGTTTCTTCCAAAGTCCACCAGTTTTCCAGTTTCCTTAAATTTCTTTCAATATAATAATTCAATTAAAAAAAATTGAGACATACTTAACCTATTTTTGCGAAATATTCAATAATTTTTTAAAATTTTTCCAATTTCTTTCAATTTCTTCCAGTTTTTTTCAGTTCTTTAAATTTCCTTCATTATCCACCAATTCCAGGTTCCTCAATTTTTTAAATTACTTAAATTTGTCTTATTTCCTCCAATTTCTCAGTTCTTCCATTTTCAATTTCAAACAATTTCTTTAAATTTCCTCAAATTTCTTGCAATTTCCATCAACTTTTAATTTCCTCCATTTTTTCAGTTTTTCCAAATTTTTGAGTTTCTTCCAAAGTCTACCAATTTAAGTTTCCATCAATGTCTTTCAATTTCTCACTTTTCCTAAATTTCTTTCAATATAATAAAGAAATTAAAAAAGTTTTAAACAAATTCAACTAATTTTTTCAAAATATTTCTTGCAGTTTCATCCAATTTATTTTGGTTTCTTACAATTTCTTAGTTTCACCTGTGCTACAATTGCTTTCAATTTCCTCCAATTTCTTCCACTTTCTTTTAATTTTTTAGTATTCTCAAATTTCTTTCAATTTCGTGTAATTTCTTTCTTTGTCCTAAATTTTCGAGTTTCTTTTAATGTCCATCAATTTCCCAGTGTCCTCAAATTTCTTTCAACACAAAATAAATCAGTTTTAAAAATTTCAGATAATTTTTACTCATTTTTGCAAAATTTCCTTCAATTTCTTTCAGTCACCCAAATTTCTGAGTTTCTACCAGTGTCCACCAATTTCTCAGTTTCCTACAATGTCTTTCAAAGTCCACCAATTTTCCAGTTTCTTTTAATGTCTTTCAATATTTCCTAGTTTCTTTAAATTTCTTTCAATATAATAAATCAATTAAAAAAAATTGAGACATTTAACCAATTTCTTCCATTTTTTTTTTCAGTTTTTCAAATTTCCTTCAGTATCCACCAATTTCCCAGTTTCCTCCAATATCTTTTATAGTTTCATTTTTTTTTTGAGTTTCTTCCAATGTCTTTCAATTTCCCAGGTTCTTCAATTTTTTAATTTCATTAAAAATCTCTTATTCCATTTTCAGTTTATTATATTTTCTTTAAATTTTCCTAAATTTCTTGCAATTTTCACCAACTTCTTTTAATTTCCTCCAATTTTGTTCAGTATTTCCAAATTTCTGAGTTTCTTTCAATGTCTACCAATTTAAGTTTCCGTCAATGTCTTTGAATTTCCTCCAATTTTCAACAATTTCTGTAAATTTTCTCCGATTTCTTGCAGTTTTTTCCAATTTATTTTGGTTTCTTACAATTTCTTAGTTTTACTTGTGCTACAATTGCTTTCAATTTTCTCCAATTTCTTCCACTTTCTTTTAATTCCTCAATCTCTTCAATTTTTTTTTTTAATATCATACAATTTCTTTTAATTTTTTAGTTTTACCTGTGCTACAATTGCTTTCAATTTCCTCCACTATCTTTAATTTCTCAGTTTCATCAATTTTTTTTTAATTTCATGCAATTTCTTTCAATTTCATCCATCATTTCTTCAATTTACTACAATTTTTTTATATTCCTCAAATTTCTTACATTTTCAACAATTTTTTCCCCAAATTTTCGAAAAATTTTCAATGTCCATCAATTTCCCAGTGTCCTTCAATTTCCTTCAATACAATAATAAATCAGTTTTAAAAATTTCAGACAATTTTTACTCATTTTTACAAAATTTTCTTAAATATCTTTTAGTTCCCCAAATTTCTGAGTTTCTTCCAGTGTTTTTCAATTTCCTTCAATTTCCTAAAATTTCTTTAACTTTTCTCCAATTTCTTTCGATTTCCTTCAATATTCATTTTCCTAAAATTTCTAAGTTTCTTCCAATTTCTCAGGTTTCTCCAATTTTTTTTCTTAAATTTCTTCTAATTTCCTCCAATTTCCTAGTTCTTCGAATTTCTTTAAATCAGTTGTGCACCAATTGCATTTTTTGAGAACAATTTCGCTCATTTCTCTAAAATTTTCAACAACTTTCTGTAATTTCTTTCAGTTTCATCCAATATTTCAGTTTTCTTCAAATTTCTTTCAATATTTCCAGTTTTCGTATATTTTTCAATTTTCTCGTTTCTTTAAATTTTTTAAATTTCCACCAACTTCAACCCCCTTTTTTTAAGAACATTTTCACCTATTTCTGCAATATTTTCAACATTTTCCTCCAATTTCTTTCAATTTTCTCCGATTTCTTTCAATTTTCTCCGATTTCTCTTAGTTTCATCCAATTCTCTTTAATTTCTGAGTTTTTCTGGTGCTAATTTTATTAATTTTCTACCAATTTCCTCAAATGTATTTCAATTTACTACAATTTCTTTCATTTTCCTTACATTTTATTAATTTTTTATCAATTTCCTACAATTTCTTTAAATTTCCTCTAAATGTTTGACAGGCTTAAGGAGCAAAGAGCTCTAATATTTTTACATGAGAAGCCTTAAGGAGTAAAGGTTCCAAATTTTTTAACTGGATGGGCTTAAGGGGTCCAAATATTTTTACATGAGTAAGCTCAAGGGGTAAAAGGCCCAAATATTTTTAAATGGACAGGCTTAAGCCGTAAGGGGCGCAAATATTTGTATATGAGTATGCTTAAGGGACAAAGGGACCAAATATTTGTACATAAATTGTCCAATCATTTTGTAAACCTTAATAAAATAAATAATATGACATTCTAGCGATTGACAGATGGTAAAATGTATCTCGGTTCTATTGTATCCACTATTTTCAGGCGATATCAAACCGGAAGCCATAGACTGGGCCAAGCAGTCCGTACATCAATGTTTAATCTATTTAGGCGATCTCAGCAGATACAAACTTGAAATATACCCGAATTGGGATACGACCTTAGCAACCAGGTACTATTTGCAAGCCATTACGTACCGTCCCGAATACGGCATGCCCCATAATCAAATGGGTACGCTCGCCATGAACCAAAACCAATTTTTAGACGCCGTTTATCACTACATGCGATGTCTAGCGTGCAAATTTTCCTTCGACGGCACCTCCAACAACCTAATGGGTTTGTTCGAGAGAAATTCCAAGTTTATCGAGCAGCTGCCCGAAGAGGATAAGAACGCCGATTGCATCATAGGTATGTTGTAGCAATTTAATACAAAACTTCTTTCTTATTAAAAAAAAAAATAAAATAAGTAGTAATGAATTTAAAGAAATTGCCATGCCCAATTTCCTTTATTTAGAACAATTTCATGTAATTTGTTTTCGTTTCATTTAATTTCTTTTAGTATTTTTGGTGCTAAAATTTCTTTAAATATCCTCTAGTATTTACTACTAAGGAAATGTCATTATATTTGCAAAAAGACGAATAACTAAAAAATAGTTTCTTTCAGTTTCTTCTAATATTCTCAAATTTCTTTCAATTTCTTACAATTTCTTTAAATTTATCAATTTTCAAGATACTCCTATTTCCCAAATTCCTCCAATTTCTTTCAACATAAATCATTTAAAAAAGTTTGTCCCGTAAATTCTTTGACAACAATTTCACTCATTTGTTGCAAAATTTTTATTAATTTCTTTCAATTTCCTTTGATTTCTTTCATTTCATCTTTTTGTTTTCAGTTTATTCAAATTTTCTTCGGTTGCCTCCAATTTCCCAGTTTTTCGGTGTTCAAATTATTTTAAATTTTCTCAAATTTCTTTTAATTTCCACTAATTCCTTTCAATTTCCTTAAATTACTTTATAAATTTTTAGCGATTTAATTCAGTTTCTAAATTTCTAAGTTGTTTCCAGTCTTAGTCAATTTCCAGGTGTTCTTCAGTTTCTTTCAATTTCCTCAATTTTTTTTTAATTTTCTCCAATTTCCCAGTTCTTCCAATTTCTTTCAATATAATAATAAACTGATTAAAGAAGTTTGTACACCACTTGCCTTTTTGAGAACAATTTCACTCATTTCTGCAAAAAAAATTAACAATTTCTTTTAATTTCCTACAATATCTTTCAGTTTCATGTAATTTCTTTAACTTTTCTTAAATTTTTCAGTTTTTTTCGTTAAAATTATTTAAAATTTTCTCCAAATTTTCGATTTCCTCAAATTTTATTAAATTTCCGCCAATTCCTTTCAATTTCCTCCGATTTCTTTCAGTTCCCCAAATTTCTGAGTTTCTTCCAGTGTCCTCCAATTTCCTAGTTTCCATCAATTTCTTTCAATTTTTTTTTTGTTCATACAGTTTCTTTTAATATAATAATAAATCAGTTAAAGAAAGTTGTACACCAGTTCCCTTCTCTGAGATTAATTTCACACATTTCCTCATATTTTTCAACAATTTCTTTAAAATTTCTGATTTCTTTCATTTTCATCTAATTTATTCCAGTTTCCTCTAATTTTTTTAGTTTTCCGATGCCAGAATTCCTTCATTTTTTTTTAAATACTTCAAGTTTCTTTAATTTTTTTTTAAATAACTTTTTTCGTCTGACTGCAATTTTATCCAATTTCTTTTAATTTCCTCCGATTTCTTTCAGTTTCCTCAAATTTCTGAGTTTCCTCTAATATTCTTTTGTTTCTCAGGTCCTCAAATTTCTGAGATTTTTCCAATATTCTTTTGTTGCTCAGGCTCCTCAAATAACTTTTAATTTCCTGTAATATAGTAATAAATCAGGTAAGGAAGTTTGTACACCAATTTTTTGAGAACAATTTTATTTATTTCTGTAATATTTTCAACATTTTCTTTCATTTTCCTCCAATTTCTTTCAATTTCCTCCGAATTCTTTTAGTTTTATTCCAATTCTATCAATATCTGGTTTTCTGGTGTTAATAACAATTTCCTCCAAGGTCTTTTAAATTCTTTAAGTTTCTTCCATTTTTTGTTTTCTCAAATTTCTTTCAAATCTACTACAATTTCATCCTATTTCTTTCATTTTGTTACAATATCTTTAAATATTCTCAAATTTCTCTCAAGTTTCTTTCAGTTTCCTCTGATTTCTTTCCCTTTTTTATGAATTTCTTTCAGTTTCCTCGGATTTCTTTCCCTTTTTTATGAATTTCTTTCAGTTTCCTCTGATTTCTTTCCCTTTTTCATTGTCCTCCACTGTATTTAAATTTCCTCCCAATTTCTTTTAATTATTTCCAATTTTTTAAAATCGGTTTCTGATTTTTTAAATTTTTTTAAAAGCCTTCCAATTTTTTTCATTACCCTCTCCATTGCCTTTTAATTGTCCATTGTAATTGTTTTCAATTTTTTTAATTCCCCCAATCTTTAAATTTCTTTTAAATTTTTTTAGTTTCTTCTAATGTTCACCAATTTTTCAATTTCCTCCAATGTCTAACAATTTCCTCCACTTTCCTCAAATTTTTTTCAATATAAATCAGATAAAAATTTAACTCCGATTTCTTGCAATTTCATCCAATTTATTTCGGATTCCTTCAATTTATCAGTTTTTTGGTGCTACAATTGCTTTTAATTTCTTCAACTTTTTTCTAATTTCTCAGTTCCTCAAATTTCTTTAAATTTTCTCCAACTTCTTTTAATGTATTACAATTTCTTTAAATTTCCTAAAATTTCTTTTAACTTCTTTCAGTTTCTTTCAATTTCTTTCAGTTTCCCCAAGTTTTTGACTTTCTTCCAGTGTCCATCAATTTCCCAGTTTCCTCCAATTTCTTAAAATTTCTTTCAATACAATAATAAATTAGTTAAAACAGTTCGAGACAATTTTAACTAATTTTTGCAAAATTTTCAATAATTTCTCTAAATTTTCTTCCATTTTTTGTTGTTTCATTCAATTTATTGTGGTTTTCTCCACTTTCTGTTTTTCTGGTGCTACAGTTGCTTTAAGTTTCTTAACATTTCTTCCGGTTTTCTCAGATATCTGATTTTCCTCAAATTTCTTTAAATTTCCTCCAATTTCTTTTGATTTCCTCCGATATTCTGTTTCTTTTAAAATTTCTTAGTTTCTTCTAATGTTCTCCAATTTTACAGCTTCCTCCAATTTTTTTCAATACAATAAATTCGTATTTTTTTGCTTGGACCTTTTGTCATTTAGTCTATCAGCTAATTAATAAAACGATATTGCAAAAAAATATTAAAGAAGTTTGCGCTCTATTTGACTCTTTTGAGAACGGTTTCACCCATTTCCGCAATATTTTCAACATTTTTTTTTTATTTTGCTCCAATTTCTGCCAATTCCTTTCAATTTACTACTATTTTTTTTTATTTCCTTAAATTTTTCGCAAATTTCTTTCAATTTCCTCAAGTTTCTTTTAGTTTCCTTCGATTTCTTTCCCTTTTTTATGAGTTTCTTTAATTTTCCTTCAATGTATTTAAATTTCCTACAATTTCTTTTAGTTGATTCCAATTTTTTTAAATTGTTTCTTTTTTTTTTTCAATTTCCCTCGATTTCTTTCCCTTCTTTTTATGAGTTTCTTTAATTTTCTTCCAATGTATTTAAATTTCCTCCAGTTTCTTTCAATTTTTTCCTATTCAATTTTTTTTTTAATTCCTCCAACTTTTTTCAATTTTTTTTAAATTCCCTCAGTTTTTTTTCGTTTCCTTTTTTCCAGTTTTTCAATTGTTTTAATTTTTTTTTCAATTCCCATCAATTTTTGAATTTCTTGGAATTTTTTAAATTTTCTGGGTTTTTGTGGTTTTTTTAATATCCACTAATTGACCAGTTTCATCAAATGTCCTTTAATTTCCTCAAATTTCTTTCAGTATAATAATAAATCAGTTAAAAAAGTTTAAGAAAAAGTTAACTCTTTAAATTTTCTTCGATTTCTTGCAGTTTCATCCAATTTATTTCTTTTTTTCCAATTTCTTATTTTTTAGGTACTTTAATTTCCTCCAATTTCTTCCTGTTTCCTATGATATCTCAGTTTCTTCCAATTTCCTTCAATTTCTTCCAATTTCTCCCCGTTTCCTATGATATCTCAGTTTCCTCAAATTTCTTTCAATTTCTTCCAATTCCTTTCACTTCCCTTCAATTTCTTTCAGTTTCCTTGAATTTCTGAGTTTCTTCTGTCTTTCAATTTCCCAGATTCTTCCAATTTTTTTCAATTTCCTCCAATTTCATTTAATATTTATAATGAATTAGTTAAAGAAGTTTGTACACAATTTCCGATGCTAAAGTATCAGTTTCCTCAAATTTCTTTCAATTTCTTTCAATTTCTTTCAATTTCTTTCAATTTCTTTCAATTTCTTTCAATTTCTTTCAATTTCTTTCAATTTCTTTCAATTTCTTTCAATTTCTTTCAATTTCTTTCAATTTCTTTCAATTTCTTTCAATTTCTTTCAATTTCTTTCAATTTCTTTCAATTTCTTTCAATTTCTTTCAATTTCTTTCAATTTCTTTCAATTTCTTAAAATTTCTTTTAATTTCTTTCAATTTCTTTCAATTTCTTTCAATTTCTTTCAATTTCTTTCAATTTCTTTCAATTTCTTTCAATTTCTTTCAATTTCTTTCAATTTCTTTCAATTTCTTCCAATTTCTTTCAATTTCCTTCAATTTCTTTATCAGTTTTAACTGTGTCCTCCAATTTCTATTAATTTTTATCCATTTCCACCAATTTCTTTAATTTTCATCGCATTTCTTTCAACTTCTTCAAATGTCTTTTAATTTATCTAAATTTTAGCTTATTTTAAACATCATGAGTTATAAAACCATAACAAATTTCAACAATTTGCTTTCATTGCCTTCAGTTTCTTTCCATCACCTTTCAATTGCTTCTCATTGTCTTTAATTTCCTTTTATTGCCTACAATTTCTTTTATTTTCACATTTTTTTTGAATGCTTACAATTTCTTTTAATTTCACACACTTTCTTTCCAATGCTTACAATTTCCTCTAATTTAGTACAATTTCTTTTAAATGCTTACAGTTCCTTTTATAATTTCCTTCATTGTGAAGATTTATTTCTACAAGTCACATTAAATTATTTTACAGAGCCAGAACAGAGCGAAAAGATCAAACGGTTGACAGCCAGATTTCTTTTGCTCATTGACATTTGGTACTTTGACAAAAAAGTGGCGAAAGTCTACGATCTGTGCCACCAAACGTACAAGAACCTCGAAGAGTGTTTGACATTCGTGAAGTTGTCCCACAGCGAGTCGGGCGACAGTCCCACGGAAGTCGAAACCGATTCATTACCGTCGTATTTAAGCAGCGATACCATTTTCAAAATGGTCGTTATATGTTTACTTTGCATATCCAAATTGCAATCGATGAAATCCTCGCAATTATCGACGGCCGTCGCTTTCACTTTAGGCGTTTATTCCCAACTAATGCAGAACGTGACCAATCGCATACAGGAGGCGGTGTTGAATTTCCCTTTGAATGAACAGGCCAAAGCCAAGTCTTTGAATGGGACATTGAAGGATTTGGTGAACGGTAAAAAGCGATCTACATCGAAATTGAGAAGAAAGAAAGTCTTAAAGAATTGTAGTGATGATGAATCGGAGGCTAGTGAAAACGATGAGGGAGATTTCAGTAGTTCCGATGATGATTCTTTTATGTCGGACGATGAGAATGTTTTGAACGTTTCTTCGGATGAGGAGTCTGATATCATAAAGGTAGGGTTTTTTAAATCCAATAATCGATTACAATTATTAGTTAAAATAAATGAAATATCTGTTGTTTTTTTTAAACGTAGTCAATAGTGAAATGGGAATAAAGCAAAAAATCAATACTAAAAAACAGAATTATCTTCAATTTTCTTCAATTTCTTCCAATTTATATTTAGATATTGATTTAGTACTTTATTTTCGTTTCAATATGTAGTAAACTAACACAATAACAAGGTAGACTTTTTTGAGAAAAATTTGACTTATCTCAATATTTTCAAAAATTTCCTCTAAATTCTTTTAATTCATCTCAATTATCATTAATTTCAATTTCTTCAAATTTCTTTTAATTACCAATAATTTCCTTTTTTTTTTTAATTTCTTTTAATACCACCAATTTCCTACATTTTTTCAAATTTCTCAAATTTCTTCAAATTGTCTACAATTTCTTTTAATTGACTCTAGTTTCTCCCATTTCTTTAAATTTCTTGTAACTTTCAATTTTTTTAAATTTGTTTTAATTACCACCAATTTCCTATTTTTTAAATTTCTACAATTTGTAACAACCGGTTAATCCTAAAGACCAACGCTCGTCACCAAATGTAACAACCGGTTTGCCTAAGGACCATTTGTAACTACTGATAGGTCTTTAGCTACTGTTACTATACTATTAAGGGATAAAGGCAGCGCCTGTCACCAGCCAAAGGGTCCTGGAGTCCTTAAGGAACATCCATTCGCCAGTGGCAAAATAAAATAATAAAAGAAAATAATAAAATTACAAAAAAAACATCCCTTAATAGCATATGTCGAGCGGTTCTTGGCAACTAGTTTTAGACTCTTTTAGTCCTAAGGGAATAGAAACGCCGAGGCTTCTCAAATGCTCGGAGTATTTTGCTGGTTTGGGAAAGGAGGAGAGATTAATAATAAGTATTAAAACATTAACAAATGTATATTAACAATAAATAAAAAACTTGACAAATAGTCTTCAGGAAAAATGAATAAAATTCCATTTAGAGAATAATGCACTATAACTAATAGTAATAAAGATAAGCATAAAATATAATTCGGGACGAAAATGTAAAATTGGCATTTATATGTAAGTCAATTAATCAATTATTATTAAACAAAATTAAGTTAAAATATTTACCCATAATTCACATCGTACACAAAAACTTTACACATTGCTTTACAATACAAAACGAGAACTTTCGCCCATGGGGGGCGAAAGTTCTGGACCTTAGTCCGAACCCGACTGAGCGTTTCCCCCAAGTGATCCTTTCTATATAAACCAAAATTTATGTGACTGTTGATTGTATTTTACAATGTCACGTTCAATGTAAATTAATAAAATGAAGGTTTGTTTCATTGTCATAAGTGTCTTTTTAATTATTTAAGTTAAACATTAAATACTTGTTTAGAATTTTTGGTAAATTCTTTAGATTTTTTCAATTAATAATAATGCCAATTATTACAAATTTCTTTTAATTGACTCTAATTTCTCCCATTTCTTTAAATTTCTTCATTCAATTTTTTAAAATTTATTTTAATTACCACCAATTCCCTATTATTATTTTTAATTCCTCCCAATTTCTTCAAATTGTCTACAATTTCTTTTAATTAACTCTGATTTCTCCCATTTCTTTAAATTTCCTTAAAGTTCTTGTCTTTTAATTTTTTTAAATTTATTTTAATTACCACCAATTTCTTATTTTTTTTAATTCTTCCAATTTCTTCAAATTGTCTACAATTTATTTTAATTGACTCTAGTTTCTTCCATTTCTTTTCTTGGTAGAATTTCCCACTCGACTATTCACTGTTGGATTCTAATTAACAGTGCTGTTCCTAAAGTGGCGCTGGGAAACATTAATAAAGCCTACAGTTAAAAGTTAAAATTACTTTAAAATTGTTCTCCAAATTCTCAATTTCCTCAAAATTTCTTTAAATTTATACCAGTACCTTTCAGTTTCCTCCATTTTATTTCAGTTCACCAAATTTCTGAGTTTCTTCCAGAATCCTTGGAAGTTTCCAGTTTCCTCCAATTTTTTCAACTTCCTTAAATTTCTTTTAACTTTCTTCAATTTCCCAGTTTCTTTAGTTTCTTTCAATATAATAATAAATCAGTTAAAGAAATTTGTACATCAATTACCTTCTTTAACATCAACTTCACGCATTTCCTCAAAATTTTTAACAATTTCTTTAAATTTTCTCAGATTTCTTTTATTTTCATCTAATTTATTTCAGTTTCCTTCAATTTCTCAGTTTTCCGATGCTACAATTCCTCAAATTTCTATAAAAATACTTCTAGTTTCTTTAAAATTTGTTTTTCATTTTTTTTTTTAATTTCCACCAACTTTTTCATTTTACCGCAATTTTCTCAAATTTCTTTCAATTAACTCCGAATTCTTTCAATTTCCTCCATTTTTCTTTAAATTTTCCTAATTTTTTTTCAATTTCCTCAAAGATTTTTCAGTTTCCTTTGATTTCTTTCAATTATCTCCAATTTTTTAAATTCTTTAACTTTTTCAAATTTCTTTCAATTTTTTTTATAAATCCTTTCAATTTTTTTCACTGTCCTCTCCAGTGTCTTTCAGTTGTCCAATTTAATTCAATTGTTTTCGATTTTTTTTTAATTCCCATCAATCTTTGAATATCTTTTAATTTTTTCATTTTTTCTAAATTTTCGAGTTTTTTCTGATGTACACCAATTTCCCAGTTTTTTTAATTTACTCAAATTTCATTCAATATAATAATAAATCAGTTAAAAAAGTTTGAGAAAATTTTAATTTTTTTAATTTTCCTTTAACTTTTTCAAAATTCTTTCAATTTTTTAAAAACTTCTTTGAAAACAATTTCACCCATTTCTGCAAAAATTTTCTACAATTTCTTTCAATTTCACTAATTTCTCTAACTTTTTATCAAAATTACTTTAAAAGTTTTGCAAATTTTCAATTTCCTCAATTTTCTGTCAATAACTTTCAATTTTCACCGGTTTAATTCAGTTCACCAAATTTCTGAGTTTCTTCCAGTGTTCTCCAATTTTTTTCTAATTATCTTGAATTTATTTCAATTGTTTCTAATTTCTTGTAATTGCTTTTAATTTTTCCTTTTATTAATTTTTCTCCAAGTTATTTTAATTATCTCCTATTTCTATCTATTTCTTCAAATTTCAATTTTCCCAATGTCTTATAATATTCTTCAATTTCTATAAATTTACTTCAATTTTTTTAAATTTCCTAAAAATTTTTCAAGTCCTTTCAACTTACTACAATTTCTTTAATTTTTTTAGTTTAATATTTGATTTACTTTAATTTTTCCATTGTCTTCATATTTGACGGTTTTCTCCAATTTCTTCCACTGTTCTATTTCTCTAAATTTCCTCCAAATTATTTCCATTTTTGACCATTTCCTATCAATTTCTTTTAATTTCCTCCCATTTCTTTCAACTTCAAATTTCTTTCAATTTGCCTATATTTTAATATGTTTTAATTTCAAGTAATTGTTAAAACATACCCATAATTATAGCAAATTTCAATAATAATTTCCTTCCATTAGCTTTATTTTCTTCCTATTACCTTTCAGTTTCCTTAATTTTATTGATAATGGTTATAAAATATATCATTGGGTGCTTTTCCTTTTACAATTTCATTTGTTGTGGACTCTAAATTCCTTCACACAGATGCCTTTTTGAAAATTACTATTTCTTTTTTCAATATTTTAAACAATTATCTTCAAATTCTTTTAATTTCTTTCAATTTTGATGATTTCATTCAGTTTCATCCAATTTCTTTTATTTGTCTTTCATTTGTTTCGAATTTGTTTTAATTAGGTATCTTTAAATTTATTTAATTTTCAAGATACGTTTTCAATTATCAACGATAACTTTACTATAAAGGTTTATTTTCTATTCATCCCTTAAACCCAAAAAAATGATGTTTTAATGTTATTTTAGCTTCTCTTTACGTTCTAATCGAACAAAATTAAGTTTTAATATTGCTTTATCTTCTCTATTTTAAATCGATCATGTTTTAAATTATTTAAAGTGACCTCAGAAATTAGAAAATAACTTTTTTTGTTTAAATATCAGGTATCGGACGAACCGAAAGACCATCATCATCCCAACGGTCTAACAAATGGCATAAAATCTTCAGACACGATCATCGTCCCGGAACGAACCAAGGAGGACTCGATCAGAACCGTCCAACTGATGGACGTCAACGATATCGTCGAAATCGTCACCGAAGAATCTTTGTTGCAAAGCATCGGCGTTCTCAATGATTGGTTGAGAAACGACGTGGACGTTTTGAAATCGTGCGGATCCAACGCCGGTTTATTGAGACAGTTAACGTATCTGATTAATTTGGTTAATATCAATTTGCGGAGTCCGAAAATGATCGGGGTCAGTTTGAAATCGTCGGAAATTTTGAACAGGGGTCCGAGGTTGCCGCTTTCGGAAGATATCGTACTGAAAGGTAATTATTATTTTTTTTTTTAATTTGAATTTGAATATTTTATGTGTTGCAACATGATTTTTGGCACAAAATGGTAATTTTTCCTGTTTTAAATACCATAAGAAATCAAGAACATTTTAAAGTCGCTCAAGGTTGTTTAAAGAATGCTTATTTTTAAATGTTTTTAATGAAAATGGAAAATAATAAACAAAATTATAAATTATTATTCTTGATAAATCTTAATTATTCTAGATAATTCTTTATTTTTCTTAATAATTTTTTATTATTCTTGATATTTATTGCCAATTATTTCTAATTCTTTATTATTATTGACAATTCTTAACAATAATTCTTGATTATTCTTTATAATTTGTAAAAAACTAAAATAAATTTAATATAACATTTTTGTATATTCAATACCAACTTTTATCGGTTTTTCTTTAAGGATTGGATATTCTGAAGGGATCGCAGGAGAACTTGGACTGGTTCTATATCGAAAAGAAAAGTTTGAGTCTAAAAGAAGAGGCCGTGGTTAGAGTTGTGAAGTTTATGTTTTTCGGAAAATTTTTGACTACAATTTCAGAAACCGGCATTACCTATGATGAAAACAACAACGCGTTGATATGCAAATTGAAAGAGAACAAGGAAGAAGATCGAAAGAAATCTGAATTTCTTATGAACGAACAAGAGGTAAGTTTCAAATTCTAACATAAACATAATTAATAATTATAATAATAATAATAATAATAATAATATATAATGATTCATAATAATTCGTAATGATTTATAATAATTCTTAATAAATAATTCTGAATAATTCTTAATAATTCTTATTAATTCTTAATAATTCTTAATAATTCTTAATAATTCTTAATAATTCTTAATAATTCTTAATAATTCTTAATAATTCTTAATAATTCTTAATAATTCTTAATAATTCTTAATAATTCTTAATAATTCTTAATAATTCTTAATAATTCTTAATAATTCTTAATAATTCTTAATAATTCTTAATAATTCTTAATAATTCTTAATAATTCTTAATAATTCTTAATAATTCTTAATAACTCTTAATAATTTATAAAGATTCCTAATGATTTATAATAAATTTTAATGATCCATAATAATTGTTAATTATTCTTAAGAATTATTAATAATTAATTCTTAATAATTGAAGGGCTTATTTTACAAACGTAATAAGCCACACTTTGTAAAATAAAGCCATTTTTACTTCACGACAATAAAAACTAGGTTAAAAAAGTCATAAACCAAGCGGAAATTCTCCAACAAATACCATTATTGGCCAAAACATCAAGTTATTACATTTTAACAAGTTTATTTTAATCTTTGAAAACGTGTTATCTCAATAAATTTATGATGTGACTTATCATGTTATTCCAATAAACTCTTCAAATTAATTCTTAATAATTATTAATAATTTCTAATAATTTTTGACAATTCTTTATTATTCTTGACAATTCTTTATTATTCTTGACAATTCTTGATAATTCTTTGTTATTCTTGATAATTCTTGCCAATTCTTTCTTGTTCTTGACAATTCTTGATAATTCTTGATAATTCTATATTATTCTTGATAATTCTTTGTTATTTTTGATAATTCTTAATAATTCTTGATAATTCTTTATTATTCTTGACAATTCTTTATTATTCTTGATAATTCTTTATTATTCTTGATAATTCTTTGTAATTCTTGATAATTCTTGATAATTCTCTATTATTCTTAATAATTCTTTATTATTCTTGATGATTCTTGATTATTCTTGATAATTCTTGATTATTCTTGATAATTCTTTATTATTCTTGATATTTCTTGCTAATTCTTTATTATTCTTGACAATTCTTGATAATTCTTGATAATTCTTGATGATTCTTGATAATTCTGATAAATTCTTGGTAATTCTTAATAATTCGTAATATGAAGAGCATTAATCAAAACAAAATATTTTATTATTATTCTATTATAGGTATTCTAAATTATGAATAGATTTTTTATTTAAAATTTTGCATTATCATTACCTTTATTCGAAATTTATTTAATATACATTTTGCAAAACAAACGTTATATCGACACAGGTCCTTACACCAAAGAATCACAAGATACTAGATATTCAAAAATTTTCTTTGTTTATACCGGGTGTTCAAATTAAAGAGTTGCAGCTATATACTGCCTTTTATAAAAAAAAAACGTTTCAGACGAAAGTTTTATAGTTTTGCAGGGAAAAAATTTTGGCTAAAATCGTTTTTTATAGCTAACCATTAGATTAGATTTAATTAGGATTATGGGCCATGTGGCCTCCCCCACCTCGACCTTTTCAGATCTATTGTGGATATCCTTTAATCATTGTTTAGAGTACCTTGTCTAATTCGGTCTTTTGTAGTAGACTCCATAGACTGGGAAGTAGTTCTCCGGTATAGCTAGTTGCCCTTGGTTTTTCTTCTCCAAGTGTAAGGAATCTCAGTCTTACTAGACCTTCGCAGTAGCACAATACGTGTTCTGCCGTTTCCTCTTCTTCTTGACAGAATCGGCACAAGGCCTCTTCTGTCAGACCGATATTGAACATATGTTTGTTAAGCCTACAATGCCCTATTAATAGACCTACTAGCTACTAGCTAACCATAATATGGTCACCTTTTTTTCGCCTAGCAAAATTTTCAAGTAGCTGTTACTCAAAAAGTAAAAGTCCAATAAAAAAAATATGTTCATCAAAAGTTTATTTTTTTATGTACTTTAAGAATATGTAAAAAAATAGGATTCCCATTTAAAAAAGCAAAGTCCAAAGTCAGCTATAAAAAAATTAATTTGGCCAAAATATTTTCCCCAAAAAACTATAAAACTTTTGTCTGAAACTTTTTTTTTCTAAAATGCGTATTTTCGGCGGTATTTAACTATAACACTTTAATTTGAACACCCGGTATATAACTAATATTATAATACGAGCAATACAAATTATGTTTAGTTTAAGTTTAAGAAGTGATAAATAGAAGTGAGTAATCCCATTTCCGGCCGCTATATTCCTATAATACGTTTATTCCAGGTAAACAGTAAATGCCAAAACAAGGTAATTAGGTCTCATATCGGTTTATTTTCTTCATATAATACTTCTTTAAAATAGTTAAGATTTATAAAAATCCAAGATACCTATCTAAAAGAAAAGTATTATTTAGACATCAGATTTATCACAAAAAAAAAATTAAAACACAAGATATGGAATTTTTTGATTAGTAAATAATATTAACAAAAGCTCTTTTTCAAACTGAATATGACAGTAATTTTCAATGATTAATGACGAAAAAAATCGATAGCCAAACTTCGCCGGCGAACTGGCTCGACGTCGAAACGTCCCATCCCCAATAAAAAGTGTGAATTCAACACCTATTTCCTTACCTACTACGAAACGACTCGGGCTAATCTAATTAAAATCGGCGTGATAAAATTGACGAATATTTCGTTCGCGATGTTTTCCCCGCGAGAAAACGTTCTAGAATCCATATAGATGCAAATGAGGCCGCCGACAATTTTCGCGGGAACGCCGCTCGTAATTGCATCACATCCAGTTTGTCGCTAATACGGTTTCCCCTTTTTCTTTCTATCTATACAAAGAAGAGTAAGCAAAAATCCGAATGAATCGTCGTTGTGTGGGAGTGACTGGCGAGCGAAGCTAATTTCCTTTCTACCATCAACCGAATTTACACGCGTCCGTTTCGTTCGACGTAATGGGACATGTTCAAAAATTTTGAAATTTTTTTTATGAATAATAGAGTTGAAAATAAAGGTACATTTTTTTTTATCTATTCATTTACCAGAGTTATGAATTTTTTAAAATTTATGACGTCCAGGGAATAGACTAATAGGAGCTAGCGCCACAACGTTGCCGGTTAGAAGGTTTACGAGAAGTGATGTACGTTCGTTTGTGTATTCCTTCTTACTTTCTGACTTCTAAAACATCGTTATACAAATATCTTTTAAATATATAATATCAAATGTTTTTTGAAAGTATTATTTCTGTTTAAACTTTTACCATATTTAAAGTTTCATTGTTTTAAAAGTCACTTAATAATTCAGAAAATGGCAAAATGGCAGCACTGTGTGTGTCATCTGTCATAGTGTCTCAATCAAGACTTTATTTGGAATTTGAGAGTTTAATTGTGTACTTTTTATATTATCGGGATTATGATCGACAAGTAAATGTTATATGACTACGAAAAAGTTTTGTTCCAGAATGTGATGATTCACATTCATCTTCAAAAATATTTATCAGTGTTCCTAGAAATTTGGAAAGAAGAAAATCAACCTTCTACTAGCGAAGTTTCTCCTCAACATTTTAATAAAAATACACAGGATTATCAAGATGTAGCAGCAATTTCTGCTAATTGTCCCCTTCAGGAAATTGAAAATGAGGCTACTATAAATTCTTAGGTGTATAACCTAAAAACACTTCTGGAAGAAAATTCAGAATCTCCTGAAAGTTTTGAAGATACTGTATTCATTTTTCTGGAAGAATTAGTGATAAAGAAATAATAGAAAAATGTGGGTATTTAAACAAACTGGTTCCTGCAGGGTTATTCTACTAAATTTATAGCCCGGCTAAAGTTTATAGCCCGGCTACAAGTTGGATTTTGAAGTTAGGAACATATAAAGTTCAAGCCAAAATCCAACTTGTAGCCGGGCTATAAATTTAGTAGAATAACCCTGCTGGATCCCATATAATGGCAGATAGGGGTTTCAGAATATTCAGCCATTACTTGAAAACATGGGATGCACTTTAGTAAGGACACACCTAGTATATCACAGAATGAAATAAGTTCTCCAGAAGATGTACAATTAAGTAAAAGAATAGAATCTCTAAGAATACATGTGGAAAGAGTTATAAGAAGGGTTAGGGAATTTAACATGTTAAAACCACATTCCTGTGTGAATTTTAAGCAAGTACATTTACTTAGTAATATCTGCATAATTGCTTGTTAACTTACAAGAACCTATTTTGTAAGAGTAAATATTAATTTATTAAACTGTTTTTATTTGTTTTTTAATTTAATTTACCTAATTATCACATTTCAGGGATTATAATGAAGAGTTTTTAAACAGCCAATGTAATTTTTTTTAAATTTTAACTTTTTGAGCAAATCAAAGAGGAATGAGTACCTGTATATGCATAGATTTTTTTAGGACTAAAACTACCAAACCGAAGGCACCTATTTACAGCAGTTTAAAATGAAACATTTTAACAAAAATGCCTATGTCACAGTGATAAATATTAAAAACAACAAAGTTCAGTTGAATGTGGTAGCAAAGTCTATATATTCCAATAAGTCCGGTAACTACATGTGGTATCACTGGTGATAAATTTAAAAATCACAATTCTTGCCACCTTTTTCAAAAAACCAGCAAGTGTGCCTTCTTATCATTCCTTGACGAAAATGACAACAGTGATAAATGTAAAAAAAAATATTTAATGTTGCTATTCGTTATTACGATAGTAAAACATGTTTGCAGTTCCGTTTATTTTTTATGAAAATCTAAGTAAAAACAACCAATGTCAAAGGGCTATAATTTTTTTCTCTGTCAAACCAAATACACACAAAATTAAAAATTGATCATAGGTCAAGCTAAAGTAATACCTTTATTGATAGTAGCTTTAAAAAAGGAGAAAGAATAACATTGACTTAAGTTGTTATTATTATTAACATTGGTGATTTTTAATAAAAACTCTTCAATTATTGTTTATAAACAAAAATGTAAAAATCTGTGAAAATTTTATTTATTAACTTTTTTATAAAAAATGAGAAAAATGCAGTAAAAAACAATTTATTTACAAATAAAAAATATATACAAATCCTAAGAATATAAAAGTATATAAAAGTACTGATTTATTTTCCTGTAGTGGATGAAGAGGTTTCTTTAACAATCTAGCCAAGTGTACATCAATATTTACGCATTTTGATAAATTAGAGCCTTTCCAATAACACTGAGTAGATGTTACAAATGGTTCCTCACTTCTTCTATGAAGCCACAGCAAAAAAGCTACATGTTTACAACCACCTGAAAAAAATAAAAGGGTTAGATATGCAGTTACAAAATAACTATATAACCAGCTACAAAATGCCTTATTTTATGTAACAAGCGAGCAGAGCTTTATTAGCTCTGAACGAATCCAGTAAAGAACCTCGGAATTTCAAAACTTAAAAAAAATCTCACCACATTTTCACATTTTTGAAATATTATAGAGCTTTTCGAAAAAACTGCTATTTTTAAAAGTACATTTTTTTTCTACACCCGTATTATAATAATGCACTTATATGCTCATAATCCGTTTCATAATGATACCCATTATGATACAGATTTTTCATTACGATACAGATTTTTAATCAATAGAAACCTACAATTTTTCAATCAAGCATGCCCTTTGACGTTTGTCCTAGGTTCCTATGTAATTGTCTTAGTTGTCAAAACGTATTAAATTTTCGTAGATAGCTAAACTTCGATAATTATAATATTATAATGTCTGATATCAGCGATATAGAAGACTCCTCCACACATATCGGAGAAAGGAGAAAATGCAGTACACAATAATTTGCCCAAAAAATCTATGGTAATACCAATACCCAAGGTAATACCATTAATTACAATTTTGTAGAATTTTTTATAGAAATACGAGTAATTACTGTTATTGTGTTCAATACCAATATAAATATAATATTTATAGTTCTTGATTATTTATCGGGTGTAGAAAAAATAGCGTATGCAACTCTCATGTAATGGTTATTAATACACTCGCCTAAACCATACGAAACTCGCATTTGGCTCGTTTCGTATCCCGGTTAATGCTCGTTTATTAATAACCATCATTACATGATCGTTGCATAATATACTATTTTTAAACAGCTATGTCTCATTTTAGGCTATTCTTAGGCTATTGAGTATTATAAAATATCAGAGCATTTTGTGTTTTGCAGAAAACGAGGAACATAACATTTTTGAAAAGGGTATAAAAATAGCCTAAAAATATGACATATGTTTTAACTAAAAATTTCATAGGTGCTCTGCAGCATTCTTTGGTATCATAATTATTACTAGGTTCACTAACAAAATCTATTTCTAGATTATTTTAGCACTTGCTGCGATTACAAAAAATGTCTCTTTATATGTCAAAATTAGAATAAAATATTTATAGGAATAAAAGGCCTTATACACTGTTTATTATATGTGATATAAAAACAAAAAAGCATAATAAATATTACAAACCTTGAGATGCAGCATATCCTAAGCATTGTGCACTAAAAATTTCATTTTTGTTAATTACAACAACCACATCATAAGGTGTTTCCCATACTTTATGTTTAGGTGTAATTTGTTCCTTCTCTCTTAAGTTGTACATGGAAAAAGTAATTATATCCATATTCTTGCTTGGCAGATCTAAAAATAAAACATTATTTAATGAAGTGATTAATTTTTTAGTATTTTCAAGGGCCCTACTCTAAATATTTGGCCTAATTATCAGATATTTTTACTAATTTTTATTATTTTTCTGTGTTCCAAATTGTAAAAGAGTGTACGTACCATTACAAAAAGTAATTATGAATACACAAAAATGTACTTCTTATAAAAATAAATGAAGTGAAGGTAAAATGTTTATTTTTGAAAAACTGTTACTGTTCGACAATCCTAATGACCTGAAATAAATATGTTTTACTATAAGGTGTATTGCTCCATATAAACTGTAACTACCTACTATTAAAACAAATTATAAATAAAGTCTTACCTTGTAAACTGAGTATTGTTAAAAAATGCAGTAATCATCTCGGTAATCATATTTTCGTTTACAATGGGTAAAACACTTGATTCAACTTTTATAAATCCAGCTGATAAATTCATATTAATAATAAAATTAAACCAAAACAAAAAACTATAAAACTAATGTTAGGCGTTAGGTTCACTTCGACATTCTGTATGTCGGTTTGTTCGTTGGCTTGGTTTTGTTTAACAAAAAAAACTTCGACACAAGCTGATTGGTCTATTCTCGATGATTTCAAGTTTTAAATTATAAATGGTTATACTTTAAAAACTTTTGGCTTTTTTAATGAACTGATTGTGTAGAATAACTTGTATAGCGACTAACTATTACAATATAATTTATGAAACAGCATATCTCACATGTGAACATGGCCCATTGATTGAATCAAATGTATTGTGCTCGAAAATTATATTAGATACAGACTGAAATCCCGCGCAATAGTTTGAAATTTATTACATCTCTACCACGAAATGAAAATTAATTACCTTTATTCGCTATTTATTTAGGAAAAATTTTTTTTATACTATTTAATGAACAACTTTCTGATTAAAAAAATCTTATATTCAGCAAAATATAACAAAATATTGGATTGACGTTAAAATTATATTTTCAAGGTTTAAATAGTTATTATTTATTATTATCAACCAAGTTTGATACAATAAAAATTTGTATTCCAAAGGTAACATTTTTACTAAAAAATTAAACCAAAATAATCAGCAACCGTTCTCTTTCTACCAGCGCCCGTTTCCGCTTCCATTTTATTGGAACCCTATAAATAGAAGGCGTGAAATTTGCCGATACGATATATCGGTACATCGGCACGTAAATATCGGTATCGGCCGATATATCGTATCGGCAAAAAAAGTGATATTGTTCTATCACTATTGGTAATGATTCTTAGTGTACAAGTTTCGGCCACTTGAGTGTTTTTTAATGCAGGTTTTTAGCAATTTAAATAAATAGTGTGACCGTATTTGTTCTATTTATTTTTATTTAAAATCGTACCTCACTAGTCTCACAATCTATTTCCTCACTTTCACTAGAACTTTCCGCGTTTTCTTTCAGCTCCTTCAATTTTTCTACTGAGTATAATTTTTACTACCAATGCATATAGTTGTTGGTCTTTAGCTTGTTTTAAATTCCTTGGTAGATATAATTAATAAAAACAATTTAAGTTTTTCCTTAAAATAAAATAGTTAATAATAAGTAGAAAAAAACTAATTCAAAAATCTAGGTCTCTGAAACATACGTATTATTAGTAATTTTTTAAGCAATGAGTTGCACCATAAGTGGCGTCCAACATGCGATAATTTGTCGTAATACTCAAAGTGATATATAAACTTAATTTTTATCATTCTCTAGGATAATAAAGTCACCTTAAGCATCCCGACGACGACCTACAATGGTACCACGAAAGTTCCCTTTTCGCCCACGCCCGATCGCGATTCTTCGAGCAGATCGCCGGACGGCAGTAACGGCCAGCTGAACAAGATGAAGCATATGGGCCAATTATGGCTGGCCGCCGAGGTCAGAGCCCTGGAGAATCGAGTCGGCGCCGGTAAAGGCGCTCTATCGCCATATTTGGTTTTGGACGCGGACGCGCTTATCAAGTATACGTTCATGGTGAAGCAATTGGTCCATGCCCGGAAGTTTATCGTGCTTGTGCCCACCGCAGGTAAGCTAAAGATGTTTTTTACGTTTGATAGATATTTTTAACATGTGTCAGGCAGGTTTTTGTGTTTGACAGGCGATTTTGATGTTTTTTTTTTCTGTCGACAAGGGGATTTCATATTTGTAAGATGTATATACTGTTTGGCTCAGTTTTTGTTGTTAGACAGACGTTTTTGTCGTTTGACAGATGTTTTAATGTTAAACAAATATTTTTGAAATATGTTGGGTGATTTTTTACGTCTGATAAGAAATTTTGATGTTTAAAAATGTTTATTGCTGTTTGACAGACGGTTTTGAGTTTAATAGAAAATTTTAGCTTTTCACATAGTTTTTTGCGTTTGACAAACGACGTTAATGTTTAAAAAAAATGTTAATTGCCTTCAACAAACTTGTTGGCTGTTTGACAGGCGTTTTTGAAATAAAATCAGTAGTTTTTTGTCTTTGACAAACGATTTTGATGTTCAAAAGATGTTATGGATGTTTAACAGACGTTTTTATTGATTGACATACATTTTTGGTTTTTGACTTTTGATAGACGACTGTGAAGTTTAAAAGATATTATGGTTTCTTGACAGTTTGTTTGACATATTATTTACATGTTTCAGACTGTTTTTTCTGCTTTTGTTAGGCAATTTTAATGTATAAAAGATGTTATAGACGTTTCCACCGTTTGACAAACGTTTGTGCGGCGCATTTTGATGTTTAAAATGATGCTGCTGTTTACCAGATATTTTTACTTAATGACAAACGTTTTTGAAATAACACCAACGATTGTTTATGCTTGATAGGTGATTTTATAATTTTAAAGATTTTATTGTTGTTTTACAGACGTTTTTAAAGCATGACAGATGGTTTTTAACCTGTCACACGATTTTTTAAGTCTGAAAGCCTATTTTAACATTTAAAAGATATAATTGATTTTTAACAGACGTTTTTGTGTACAACATCAGACAAATTTTTGTTTGAAAAGTGTTATTGTTGTTTACAGACGTTTTTGAAGCATGACAGATGGTTTTTAACCTGTGTCACATGGTTTTTTATATTTGAAAGCCACTTTTAATATTTAAAAGATGTAATTGATGTTTTACCAGACGTTTTTTGTGCACAGCATCAGGCAAATTTATATGTTTGAAATATGTTATTGACGTTAAACAGAGACAAACTTTTTTAATGTACTACATGTCGTTTTTTATGTCTAATAGGTGAATTTGATGTTTGAAAAACGTTATTTCTGTTTGACTATTGTTTTTGACGTGTGACAGACTTCTCTACCTTTTGACAGACATTTTTGCCTTTAGCAGACTCGATGATAAACGTTTTTAAAATAAAACCCAACGATTTTTTATGCTTGATAAGTGATTTTATATTTTGATAGATGTTACTGTTATTTTACAAACGTTTTTGAAGCATGGCAGATGGTTTTTTGCGTTTACTAAGGCAATTTTGATGTTTGAAAAATGTCGTTGATGTTTGATAGATGTTTTGGATGTGAATCAGATGGTCTTTTTAGTTCTAAAGACTCATTTTAATATATCAGATGTTTTTTGTTGCGTGACAGACGATTTCATTTCCCTTTTACATACGTTTTTGTTGTCATTTTTTATAATATTGATATTAGTTGTGAATAGACAACAAAAAAAGTGTTTAACATTTGACACACGTTTTTGACATATTTCTGAAGCTTTTTGTGTTCAATAGACGATTTTTTGAAATATGTTATTGCTAGCTAACAGACGTTTTTTACGTTTGACAGACTTTTAACATGTATCAAACGTTTTTGCTTTTTGACAAAAAGTGTTATTGACATTTAATAGACGTTTTTACTCTTTAAGGGAAATTTTTGAAGCAAAATCGGCGGTTTTTGTAATATTTTGATAGTTGTTATTGTTGTTTTACAAACGTTTTTATTTTTTGACAGACTTGTTTGGTGCATGGTAGATTATTTTTGATATGTTTGATAGGCGATTTTGGGGTTTGAAAAATGTTATTATTGTTTGACAGATATTTACCTTTCGACAGATAATTTAGTGCTCAAAAGGTGTTTTTGATGTATAATAGACCTTCTCATATTTTGACAGACGTTTTTAACTCATGACAGGTAGTTATTTGGGTTTGGCGAGCGATTGTGATGTTAGAAAGATTTATTGCATCTTGACAAACGTTTTTGATGTGTTTATGATTGTTTTTTGTGTTTGACAGGCACTTGTATTTAATAAAAGATGTTATAAACGTTTAGCAGACGTTTTTACTCGTTGTGGGACGTTTTTAGGTAAAACCGGCTGTTTTTTGTGCTTGATTGGTTATTTGATGATTTATCATAGACGATTTTGTTATTGTTCTTTTGGCAGATGTTTTTAACGTGTGTCCGAAAGTTACTTGAGTTTGAAAGGGGATTCTAATGTTAGCATTGTTACTGATATTTAACAGACGTTTTTGTCTTTTGACATTTAACAGATGTTTTTGTCTTTTGACAGACGTTTTTGGTTTGTGACAGGGCGTTTTTTTATGTTTGATAGTTTATTTTGATGTTTAAAAGATGTTATTGTCTCTTGTTCGACGTTTGTCAGGCGTTTTTAACGTGTTTCAGATGATTTTTAGGTGTTTGTCAGGTAGTTTTAATGAATGACAGACGTTTTTGGTAATTATTGGATGTTAGGCGATTTTGATGTTTAAAGCTGTGTTAAGTCAAGAATCAAGTTGGTTGGTATAATCAGACCGAATGCATAACAGTTACTTGAAACTGTCTAGTTCTAAATTTTTAAATTCTTGATTAGTACACTTAAAAAGTACAAGAGCAGCCTCTAGGTACCATTTTTTGCAATACAGACTTTCTGTTATTCTCAGATTGGTATATTAAGTTTGTTTTTAATAATATATTTCTTTTGTCACATTTTTGATTAAAAAATAATATAAATATTGGCCATCATTAGGATTTGAAGTTAAAAGGTAGAAAAATGTTATATTTTATCTTAAAACACTCAATTCACTGATCTTAAATAGTGAAAGATTCTTTTTTTGACAGTTAATCATTCATTCACCAGACAGTTTTGACTATCAAAATTTCTCGACCTTTCTGACCTATCTCTTTTATCCACTACTGTGTTTGTTGATTAATCAAATCTACCGTTACAAGAAATTCTCTATATCGATTGAAAAATGTAAAATAATTCGTTTATTTTTGCAGTCGTTTCCGCCCTGGACGACTTGAAACGCGAAAAAATCGAAGCCAGAGACGCCATCAGATGGTTAGAATCGCAATTCCACCGCGGAAACAGATTCTTCCGCGCCCAACGACCGCAAGAACGCGCCCCCATACCGTTCATCAAATACCCCAAGAAGAAAGACAAGGAGATGCATGTCTACATCCAGATCATCGAGTGTTGTCACTTTTTAGCCGAGCAGCAAAAAGGCGCCTCCAACGTTGTCACATTATTGATAGGAAACCAAAACGTGTTGTCCAATGGAGAAAACAAAGAATTCAGTTACGTCGGATTGGCGCAGTCGGTGGGAATCGCCATAGAATCCATAACGACGTTTTATGGAAAATGGAAGAAAATCAAAGGAAAAAGGTGATGGGAATGCGATGACCGAACGGATTTGGGATCAAAGATTTAGAAACGGCCGACGAAGCTCGTTTGGAATAATGGAATAGGACGCAGCCAAGGCGTACAATAATTTTATCTTTGGAATTATTTAACTACTAATGAGATTTATTGCTCTGTGGGATTTTTTAACAGTGTATTTTATTATTTTGGGCATAATTATTCATATTCGTATATTGTTCCCGTGTAGTTATTTTGTTTAATTAATAAACGCTCAGTTGATTGTACAAGATGTTTTTTATTTGTCTAGCTTTGTAAACCTGTAAAATAATTTAAACAGGATATAAATGATGCGAAAAATTGTATGGAGAGGGTTCTGAATTGTTTTACTTTTAAATAAATAACTTTGTCAATTTTTATCTATGTCTCCCCCTCAACATCACCAAGCTCATTCACTCTTATATCTCAAACAAAACCATCACAGTCAAAGTGGGTGACTCCCTGTCCGACCCATTTACCTCTCTAGCAGGAGTACTGTTCCAAAACAAATAATTTTGAAACATATAAAAGACGGTCATGTACTCGCGAAACCAGGTATTCATTTCTTAACGACTAACAACAAGTATACGTGACCAAGACTAGAGGCACGATGCAAAAACTCCCGCGCGAAACACAAAACTGACTGGTCTAGGTAATGTGGTCATGTGTCCAAGCAGTATAAATCGGCAGAGCTATTCATGCCTTCATCAAGTAAGGGTCGCCTCTCACCTGTATAAAAAATCTTAAATTCTCTGAGCAACGATAGTAAAACAAAATGTAAAGTCCTAGTGCAATTAAATATGTAGGCATTTGTTAAGTGAAGGAATGTAAATATGTACAAAGTTTTGTTGTGCAGCGTTTGTGCACAATAAATTGTTTTACAACATGTTGAATTTTCATTGTCCACATGGAGAGGGTTGCAGCTAGCACCGATAGGAGACAGCCCATTTTGGTAAGCGTGCCTTCGGGCCGTACTTAATATTTATAGGGGATTCAACTGTTAGAAATCCACTAAGTACCACAGGGCTCAGTCCTAGCCCCTCTCCTATACATAATCTACACATAAGACTTCCCTCTCCCAAACAACCCATCTTCATTCCGATGATACTGCTCTGTTTTCAGTAGCCCAGAATTCAAACCAACTAGAAACTTGAACTCAAAAATCTATTAAACCAGATTATACTGGTGTAATAGATGGAGGATCTCACTCAACCCTCAAAAAACTCAATTCATCATCTTCAAACAAACGAGTTTTCCAAAACTCTTAAACGCAAACATACATCTTCTGGTAGAATGAAGTCGACTACCTGAGGCGAGGTTTAACCACACCCTCAACTGGTCCTTTGACATCCAACGCGCTCTTGACAAAATGCGTGAGCGAGCCGGACTCGTCGGAGCTTTACGTGGTCGCTTTTGCCGGTGTAATCTAGAAACCCTCATCCACACCTATAATGCATATATCCATCCCGTTGTTGAATACAGAGCGGTACCATACGACACTTTTCCCCTTCGTCTAGCTCACAGACTCACCACACTAGAGAGACGTATTCTCCAAAGATGCCAATATCTACCTTTTTGCTACCCCAGTAGATAATTTTACGAACAAACAAAGAATACCCCCATTTTAGACCGTTTCCAACTTCTCGGTAGACAGTATGTCTTTCAAACCCTGAATAGCTCAAACTCCCATCCCCAAAACACCCTACAAACCCCCTGGCGGCCCCACAGACTTCCAAAAAAAATGCTCACACATTGGTCCTCCCACTTCACGCTGAACTCCAGGATGTCCTGGACTCGGCACCTCTTTCCATACTTTACAGTTTGGACTTGTTCCTATTTTTAAGGATGGAAATAGCAGAATTGGCGATGCACAGGTCCCAAATGCGTCGAAACACTTAGGAAATTAGCTAGCTAGGTTAGAATTTGTAATCAGGGCAAATTATCCAGAAAAGAAGGATAACTTCTATAGTAGGGTATCAGGAAAACAATGTCTTAGAAAATGTTAACACAAAGCGGAAAGAAATAAGACATAAAAAAAACCTACAATAATTCATTAAAACACATTGTCAAACAGTTTTCATTTCCTTCTCACCTGTGAGTTGTAACATTGTCAAGTAGCGTGACGAGCCAGTCCATTTAATTCGTTAAACAAGTTTTTTACCATAGTTAAAACATGAAATGAATTGTCGAAAGTACGGAAAGCCTTATTGTATTTATACAAAAAGTTATTTGTTTTTTATTTTCCTATGAACAATATTTTTAGTCATCGTTTAATTTATATGCAAAGAATTTCCCTTGCAAAGCTGAATTACAGTTTCACCAGTCCAAGACAACCCTTCTTCTAATTGCAGAAAACGTTTTTTTCTGGATCATTATTTATGGATGTGCACCGAATTGCCTACTTTGGAGTTTAAAAAACAATACAAAATATATGTGATTTTATGTAATAGCAGTCGAAAAAAATTCAACTTCTATTAAAAAGATTTTAATTTCAACTAGAACATAATATCTCCGGACTCGTGCAGTAGCGGGCATACAGCAGCCGGGAATATCGACAAAGTGTCGGCAATTGTGGCCAGAACGGCTGACCGCTCTTTTGCTCATTAAGGGGACCTCGCGGTACATTGCACACTCTATCAACAGTGAATTAACAGACCCTGTACAGCGCTGCTTAAACGGGACACTTGTTTTCGCAGATCGGTTATCTGCGAATGAAAATTCACGGGACGTGACCCGGAAAATCCAACTTTGTGGCATAATAGACCATTTTAACTTATATTTTTTGATTATGCGATAAATTTTAGGAACATCATGTTTATTTATGGTTCTTACATCTTGTTTTTGAAATGTATTTTGATATTCTTAGGATGTAAATGTTTTTTATTGTAATTCATATTAAAATTTTAGATTCCGATTTAATATGACTCCCAAGATTTTAGATTCTTCGTTCATTTCAATAATTTAATAATTCTTTACAGTACTAAAATCTTTGGTAACTATTGCTTATTAGTTTAGAACAGAAAATTAGTACATTTGATTTAGATGAATTAATAAGAAGACAGTGATCACTTGCATCTTTTATAAAACAGTTTAGATCATTATTGATAATGTTAGAAGAATTTGGTATCTCATTTGTATGAAAAATATATAATATACTTGAGTATCATCAGCATATTATTGAGCCTTACAATATTTTAAATATTTTACTTAACTTGACGTATATATAGCAAAAGTGTAGGATCCAAAATAGACTCTTGAGGTGCGCCACATTCTATAGAGAGAATGTCCGAAAACTTTTTAGTTACAATTCAAAAAATATTTATGTAACTACTAAAGATGTTAAGCCTCAATATGATGCAAAATACTTAATAAATGTTCATGGTTTATTATATATCAAAGACCCTACCAAAATATAGCAAAACTGAAGCTGTAGATACTTCCATCACATGAAATAATGCTATTGTACAGCTAGATCCTTTTCTAAATCTTAATCCAGGTAATAATTTTAACTTTTTAATATACTTTGTTAGCTGAACTTCTACAACACGCTCAAAAATCTTAGAAAAAGCTGGTAAAAATACTTATACGACATAGATCTTTATATTGAACTGGATTTGCTTTTTTCTGCAGCACATTCACAACAGCACTACCTCATGAGGTTAGAAAAGCATTATTTGCTTAGCAACAACTAATAATTATTTTATCATATAGGTATTAGATTAGTTAATTTAAATATATAAATAAATAATAAATATCAGTTAAATACCGCAATTTGTGATAAATCTGGCTTATTTAACTAACTCTGTGTTACTAATGGTTTAAATTGGCCATCCTGTATATTATTACAACGTATAGGTCAAATATAAAACCAATACAATAAAATTTATTAATTAATCATTACGTACTTAGTCACCGTAGTCACTGCCAAAAAGTCTGGGCGAAAATTTAGTTCAATACCCTTCACAATTTTTGCTTATTTTTAGAGAAAAACTATAACCCTGATTTATTTAACTAACTTTCTTACTAACGGTTTAAATTAACCACCCTGTATGTTATTTCAACGTATAGAACAAATCAAAAACCAATAAAATAAAACATATCCCAAAGTTTCTTCATTACTATTACGTACATAGTCACAGTAGTCACTCCCAAATTGTCACGGCAAGAATTTAAAGCTAAATTCATATTACCAGGCGTTAATCGTCTTCTCATTGGTCCAAAATTGACAGTAGTTCAAATTCATTGGACGAAATCATAGTTTACCGCTTTGCCCTTTTGTTTCTCATAAACGATGAGAAATGACATCATCAGTTCGCGAATATTCGAAATGGTGGAACCAGTGTTTTTTAGAAATGTTTGTCACTTCGGATTTTGGTAAGATTATAATTTAAAACCATTAATTAATTGTGTTGCTATTAAAAAAACGGGTGTTTGTCTATTTGTATGTTTAATCTAGTGGCGTTTTAAATAATTGTGATAGTGTTGTACCTACCTAGCCCATCACGATTATCTGGTGTATGAGTAGTTTTCTTGTGTTATAAATAAGATTGCGTCTACCTATTTTTGTGGCAATTTTAATGGTATTTAAATAATACTGATAGTGATACACCCCTACCATATGGAATATTACTGAGAAGTCCTTACCTTAATACAAGGCAGTATCTACTCTAGGTAGGTACCTACCTACCACACTCTACAAAAAAATTTAAATCTTTTTAAGGATTCTATCAAAGTTATGTAAGTGTATTTAAATTGTTTATTTGTGATATAACTTTCTAAAAAATTGAAAGGGTTAAGTAAGAATTGGACATGTTCACATTTGCTAGTTTTTTAGGAGAGGTAAAAAACGTTTCTCTTACGTTATTCCACAAAATGGCGTGATTTACATGAACAGCGTTGCCACGTTTTCTCGAAAAAATCTATAATACTGAAAGTTTTGTTGGAATCTATGAAAAATAATAGAATAAATTTAAAATAGTACAGAATTTGAAGTACCTATATGAAGTTTTTTGTTCATATTTTTTATGTAGATAGACGTTTAAATATAAAAAGTACATTATTGTTGCTTTATAGTTATCAAAGTTTGTGTTTTTATTCTTTAGGCCTGCAAGAAAATATAAAAAAGAAAAAATATACTCAAGAGAAAAATTATACCTCAGGATATGAACAGAAAATTAATTTATGTATTCATTATTAACCTTGTCATTTATTTATGATTAATTATATTTAAAAAA